TTTTTTTTATATTATTTATATTAATAATTAACTACTTAACTATACTATATTATATATTTATATATATATTTATATATATATATATATATATATAGTAACTTATACAGATAATTTTGTTTACATGCAGGAAGGTCACTGGAATGAGATAGTTTTGTTTGCAGCCTTGTTCTCCTTGTGACTTCTTGACTGCTTACAATCTTGTTATTCCTATCAGCTTCTAGCAAACAAAATTCACTGGGTGAGATGTGATTGGAATTGAAATCCTTTCCATACAAGGCATGAGTTTCCCCCTACAGCAAGTAAAGTTGGCTGGCGATTTGAAATAAAATCTAATTTCTCTCCATCGTATTGGATGAGGTTTTATTATAATTGATCCTTTCCAACAGAAAAAAAAATACACAGTTGTAAAACGAACAAATATATATGCCCAGGACATGATTAGTTTTTCGTTTAGGTGAATGATAAAATGTTCTCTTTTTTTTTCTAACTGTGGTAATATTTTCTTAATTTTGGTGTGTTTTTTCTCTCCTAGGGTCAATATTGTTGTGGGCCGAGGTGGAAAAGTTGGCCACTTTGTGTCCAGCAGAAAGCGTTAGTTCAGTTGGGAGAATTAGACAGATCTTTTCTGAAAGCTGGTGACTTCTATTTCTGCCTTCGACAATCCTGGCCATCCCCATATGGGACATCGCCCAGTGGTTTGGAAGTCGTGTGTGTTTATAGAACCTATAACGGCGTGAAAGAACGTGTAACACATGAGAGTGAATTTCACAAACTTTTCACCATGGACTGGATCCATAATTCATTAATACAAAATTCTTCGTCTGCGCTGTCAACCCAAGATTCTGATGAGGATTTGCCACACCTGTTACAAAGTCTCCTGGTGACTGTTGAAAAAGGCATCGAGAGAATTGAATGGCAAAGCGTAACAAAGCCTTGGTCATGTAGTCACGTTTTCCCATCGCAGCTTCTCAATTCCACTGACTCTTTTTACCACGAAAACCAGGCGGTAAGCACAAAAGACAGGTTTGTACAGACTAGTCCAGAACATGAACTGGACAAAGAAAGCCACGATACAGATTGTAGAAGTCAAGTGGCCGTTGCTTGCGACCATGTTGTCACGAAAACTGATGATAATCACGTTGAGTTGGGAAAATACTATAACCAAAGTGACATTTCTAGACTCCAAATGAGCTCCCAAGACCAGATGACAAGAGTGACAACAGGTAGGATCAGCGACTATTTTTTATTTAATTCCTCGGTAGTTAACTGTTGTCATACAAAACAATGTTATCTCTTTGCAGGATCGTTGACCTTCAATCACTACTTCTAGTGAATTTCTAGTTTTCTTAAGCTTGGCATATGTCCTGAAGTGAAATCTTGTGAAGTATCTAGCCTTTCTAACTCTGCTTTGGTGTGTGCAATCGTTTTTTGGGCCTTCTTTTTTTGTAGTCTGCAAGTTTGAAGTGAGTAATTTCAAGCTAAAGTTGACTTGTGAATTCAGATATGTCACAAGAGATGATAATTATTGAAGAAGAAAAAAAATTCTAGAAAATCAGACGGGAAAAAAGAAAATTGTCTCTTCTAAGTACATCTGTAGTTTGCACTCTTTATTAATAAGATTGGTGATTGGACTAAACGACAGTTAACTTTCAAGATTAAATATTAAAACCCACTTTAATATGCTGGATTACTTAGATATCTCAAATAGGTAGCAAGATCGAAAGTTTTTTTTTATCGTGGTCTACTAGATGAAAATTTGCAAATGTATCTTTTGTGTGTCGTGAGTTTTCACAAAGTGCGCTTCAATATTCAGGCCGCTTGTGAATAACGAGAAATTGTTCTTTAAACTTAGTATATTTTTTCTTGAGTCTGGTATGGCCTGGTGGTTAAGGCACTCGAGTCGTAAGTTCGAATCTCCGTCGCCGAACATGGTCGTCCTATATGGTTGTCGACGGGGCCATCCACCTGCGTATTAAATAAAACAAATTCTTGGCTTGCGAATTTACCGACCGACCCCAAACTAGTTTTTGCTTAACGATTCAGATGAAATAATTTCCCATATAGTTTGGCTTTACGACACATAGCCATCGTTCATATCACATTGAAGAAATCCGTGTCTCATCTGATTCCCGTAGACACCCAATGTCGGGCCTGGTTAGTACTTGGAAGGGTGACCATCTGGGAATACCAGGTGATGATGGCACTATTACTTGCCCCTCCTTAGCACAGCGGTATGTCTGCGGACTTACAACGCTAGAAACCGGGTTTCGATACCCGTGGTGGCCAGAGCACAGATAGCCCTTTATGCTTAACTACAAATAATAAATTTACGAAACAATTCTATTGATAGAAAGATCAATGTATGTTACACAGGCACGTGAAGGAAAAATTCGCAAAACTCTTTGTACTTCTATTTTACATTTGTTCTTATTAAAGGTTCCAAATGATCACTGATTTGGATAACGCTATCATAAGATGTGTTTTATTGCTGCTACTCTTCCACTGTCCGTTTCTGTAATATTAATGTTAGAATAAATAATTAACTAACTAAAACACTAGAATTAGGCCGTTAAAACCAATTCTGTAGTTTGTAACAAATATTCTGAGCTGCCATGGAAAAATGTGTTATTATTATTGATATAACAACTCTAGTTTTAAACAAGTATTATAGAATACTGTGCGAGAGTGCATTATTGTTATTAAAACGACTTTAGCTTTAAACAAGTATTCTAAAATACTGTGTGAGAGTGCATTATTGTTATTAAAACAACTCTAGCTTTAAACAAGTATTCTAAAATACTGTGTGAGAGTGCATTATTATTATTAAAACAACTCTAGCTTTAAACAAGTATTCTAAAATACTGTGTGAGAGTGCATTATTATTATTAAAACAACTCTAGTTTTAAATAAGTATTCTAAAATACTGTGTGAGAGTGCATTATTATTATTAAAACAACTCTAGTTTTAAACAAGTATTATAGAATACTGTGTGAGAGTGCATTATTATTATTAAAACAACTCTAGTTTTAAACAATTATTCTAGAACAGTGTTTCTCAACCATTTTTTGCTCGTGGCTCCCTTTTGAGTTTGATTTATTTCTGTGGCCCCACCCTTTCTTAGACACTGTTACTTAGGAAAATAATTGATTTATTTTCACACTGTTCATTTATGTTGTTTTTAAATATTTTGTTTATAATATTACTGTTTACTTACAGAAGTAAAAAATATTCTGTTATAATTGACGGCCCGGCATGACCAGGTGGTTAAGGCGCTCGACTTGCAATCTGCGGGTCGCGGGTTCGAATCCCAGTCCCACCAAACATGCTCGCCCTGTCAGCCGTAGGGGCGTTATAATGTTATGGTCAATCCCACTATTCGTTGGTAAAAGAGTAGCCCAAGAGTTGGCGGTGGGTGGTAATGACTATCTGCCTTCCCTCTAGTCTTACACTGCTGAATTAGGGACGGCTAGCGCAGGTAGCCCTCGTGTAGCTTTGCGCAAATTCATAACAAACAAGAATATTCTGTTAATGATTGACATTTTATTCAGTGTGATCTTTGGGCCTGATGAACACTTAAAAGTTTTTACAACATCAAGGCGGTTACGTATTTTTGATAGCAAATAAGTCACCCGACTAAAACCAAATTCAACCAGATAAGATGTGAGAAAAGCGATAAAATACAACTTTGCCTTCTCCCAGGGCTGTGGAAACTTATTAGCTATTACACTACTTATCCAGAAATAATGCTTGTCACGTTTGAATCTAGCTTGGGCTGTTATATCACTCTGCTGCTCTTGAGAATCAGTTGAAAATATTCACAGATACCAGACAAACATTTTGATTGTTACTCGAGTACTAATCGCGTCTGGTGACTTGACTTCTGGGCTGTGGGGGATACGGGGAGAAGGAAACCTTTGATTCAATGTTAAATTTTAAATATTTTATTCGAGCAGTGAAGTTTTGGTGGCCCACTCAGAATTTACTGTGGCCCCCTAATTTTCCGTCATTCACGTGTGGCCCCTTAGAAACATGGCGTGGCCCACGTTGAGAACCACTATTCTAGAATACTGTGTGAGAGTGCATTATTATTATGATTAAAACAAATCTACTACTTTTAAACAAATATTCTAAAATACTGTGTGAGAATGCATTATTACTATTAAAACAACAATGCATTTTGTAACAAACATCCCAAAATGCTGTGGAAGAATACATTGTTATCAATATTAAATCTAAGTTGTAGTTTGTGACAAATATCATAAGTTGTGTTATTGTTATTTAAGCGCAAACCTACACAATTGGCTATTCGTGCTCTGACCATCGTGGGAAATCGAATCTCAGATTTTAACGTTGTAAGTCAGTGAACTTACCGCTGACATAGCGGGGGACTTCGAAAGGTTCTGGAAGAATACATTACTATTATCAAAGCTAACATGTAGTTTGTAACAAATATTCTAAACTACTAAGAAAACATGAATTACTATTATTAAAGCAATACTGTACTTTGTAACGAATATTCTAAACTGTTAAGAAAACATGAATTACTAATATAAAAGCAACACGGAAGTGTGTGACAAATATTCTAAACTGTCGTGGAAGAACGGATTACTATTATTAAAGAAACACTATAGTTTGTAACAAATACTTTAAATTGCTATGAAAGAATGTACTATTATCATATATATATTTGAAGTGTAGTGAGCAGAGGAAATAAATACAGTTAAACAAAAAATAAAAAAGCTGTATCTCTGGACCTTTATGTTTGAAGTGCGTTCATATACGGATGAATAAACAAACATCCTTGTTAATTTAAAAAAAACAAAACAATACTTGTACTAGCTAATGTTTTAGAGTTATTTCTTTGAATATTTATATTGCAAACAGTATTAAGCAGACACGATGGTAACAAATCCAAAGTAATGAACACGAATAACGGGTTATCCAGAACATAGCCAGCATGAATGGTAAATTACATACACTGTAGAAATTTTTTGTATTGTAACGAATGGATTTCAGGTGCTCGCAGGTTGACCTTGAAGAGACAGGATTTGTACTGGTGCATATCATCAGTAAGTAGACCGCACCTATCAATCCGGAACACTTTGTATTCTGTATTGTTTGAAAACCTGCTTAGTGTACATAGACTGTCATTAAAATGTCATCCACATCTGAGATCAGCTCTCACCTACTTCTGCATTAGGTTCCCATCATCCCCCGCTGGGGCAGCGGTAAGTCTACGGATTTAGAAAGCTAAGATCAGGGGCTTGATTCCTCTCGGTGAACACAACAGATAGCCCGATGTGGCTTTGCTATAAGAAAACACACACATACACAGATACACAGGTTCACATTACATCTAACTGCCTTTTATTTGCTTGAATCGGACTTCAATTTCAGTAAGTTAACCTTAAGTTAATTAGGACAGAAGGGGTCTTAAGATATCCGCGGCGAAGGTTACAGTAACCGAACTATGTATTGAAACTTCAAACTGGGACAGGTATTCCATCTTTTTTGTGGTAATATCTAAACATTAGGGATTTCAAGTCAAAAAGAGCATTTGTTAATAAAGATTTGTCATGTATATTATACATAATGTTGAAGTTTTTATTAAAATAGATAATTTTGGAGCCACGTTCGGTCGTGTTCTATATGATGACCATGCATATTGACAATAGCCCTGCAGCATAGTTTCCATTGCAAAAATTTGTATCGCATAAGGTTACCACATTAAAAGTATACTGCTCCTCCTTCCATCTTTCAATACTCTATTTAATGGACGAGAACGACGGTTTCCCATTGTCCATAAAAACAGTCCAATCGTTTGTTTTATTTGATTGTTTGTTGAATTTCGCGCCAAACTGCTAAAAGTCTATCTGTGCTAGCCGTCCGTAATTTAGAAGCAATAAACTAGAGGAAATGCAGCCAGTCAACACCACCCACCACAAGCTCTTAGGCTATTGTAATCGAATAGTTGTATTGACCGTCACATTATAAACCCCTTTGACTGAAAGAACGAACATATTTGATGATGGGATTTGAACCCGTGATCTGCAGATTTCGAACCGAACACCTTATCCACAAGGCCATGCTAGGCAATTTGATCACACAGGAATCCAAAGTCTGCTTTCGAATACTTGAGTGGTATGTCTTCGAAGGAAATAGCATGGAAGCATTCTCATTCTATATCTGCTCGATGTATGCAAGGGTTAAGTAGAAGATATGA